TAACTATGAAGAATGTAAGAAATTACATACGAGATTCTACACGTTTGCTTAAAGTACTTCACTATCAGGCACATCCCATGGCTTCATTCGGCATTCGGCATAAAGAATACAGTGCATGTTGTGTTTTAAGGTAATGACATAATCATTCCTATATTCCATTCGTATTCGTTCGCTAACGAAATTAAACTTCGTCATATTTTGATCAAGGCGAACTACGAACGATGCTTTTAAACCCTTCCGTATCCGTAGTTATGTTAAAGTATTTTTCTCGTAAACGAATTTGCTTAAGGGTCTCTTGCAGGATGTACCGGGATAAATGGATGCAAAATATTTCGTTGCCTGCCGTTTTCGAGTTCACGACAGTCTTTATTGGTTTACCATAACCGTAACCACTATAGACTGTGATCTCAGTCATAAATCACCTTCACGTGTAATCTTATGCTTTGGTTGTTGTGTGCTCTTCATGAAATCAGCTCGATTTTAGATTTGCGCATTGCTTTTACTTATACTTTGTTAAACAAGTCGACTCGCATTCGCCTGTCGCTGCTGGTGCCCAAGGCATTTCGGGTGGAGTCAAGAAGCGGCCGCATAAAGACCGTTCGGAGCCAGTCACTTACAGTTCGTTTCCTCTCTAGCGTCTTTAGCGTGCTGTTTGAGTTTTTGCTCTTTGGTATGTTTGTGCTGGCGCACACTTTGTACGTTGTTGTGTTGCTCTTCGTTGTTCACGTGGTGGTTCTCCATTGTTGCTGATGTTGACTTCTTTTCAGCAATTCTTTGCCAAGCCATTCCGAAGCAACGTTTTGAAGAGGACTAAAAGTGTTTCGAAATTGGACCGGAAGCGTTCAGCTGTCGACTCACCTTCGTACGTTTTACATGCTGTTGTTCATGTTCTTTACCTCGTCGTAGTCGTGAGCGTCGCTATGACGCATCGCGTGACGATCCGTGATTGACACCGTGTGATCACCAGATTGCTGATTGATCTATTTAGTTTATCCGTAATCTCACACGTCGCTTTTTCACCTTCCTTTCTTTTCTCGGCAGCGCTTTGCCGTTAATAGCTCTTACGGGTTATATCTTTTGTATTGGCTTTTATGCAGCTATTGTTTGAGTCACGGTGAATTTCGGCCGTAAATGACACCCGTTCGACAGCATCGTCATGGATCTGTTACACTCTTGCTTGTCTCTCAGTTAATGGCGTGAGGTGAGAAGCGTAGTGGGGTGAGCTCCTTGTGCCAGACGATTAACAGTTATACTAGGACAGTTTTGCGCCGCACATGGGACTCGAAATCGGCACCTAACGCGCAGCAAACTACCGCTTCCCCGAAGGTTGTAATCGTTCATTCACGTTTGCTGATCTCCGTTTTGTTGCTGCTGGCCACAAATGCTTCATTTCTGTTTAAGGGTAATATCTGCATCTGCCGGATACTCTGGCTTGGTGTCTGCTACTTTTTCATATCAGTGTACTTCAGAACCAGATTGAGAAGTTACAGCTGAGATTGTTTAGGCGTGTGTTGCGAATGCCTCCAGAAAGGAAGGCTAAGCAACTGTTCCTTGCAAATCCGACCGGCAAAAG